CTATACTAAAACCTAATTAAGACTACGCTTTGCTTGTTTGTGCGGACTGGTTGCTGGCATGCTGCAGCCCAGTACTGGTCCACGGACCGAGGGTTGGGGACCCCTACTGTAGATTACCAAAGCAGTCCAAAGAAGTGGATGAAGGTTCATTAAAACAGATTAACCGAAGCTTCAAAAAAAAAAAAAAGTCATGAAGTGGTTGTGATGGGAGATTTTAGCAATCTGTTGGAAAACTAATTCTGCCAAATACAAGATGTTGCATAGATTCTTAACTAGCGTTGGTGATAATTTTCTCTTTTAAAAAGTTGAGTTAGCCACTGGTTGATCTACCTTGGATATGGTCCTAATTGGCAGGGAGGAATTGAATACATTAAAAAGTGGTGGGAAATATATGGTGACCACACCTGTTTTTGATTTTAGCAAAAAGCTTTGTTAAAAAATTACAAGTTTTAGAAAGGTTGATTTTATAAATTAAAAGAAATAGGAGAGAAAATGTCATGAGAAGAAAATCTGAAATGCAAAAATATCGTCCCTGGCTGGGTTTCTTTTAAAAGAAATTAAGGATGCCGCAGTCTCAAACAACGCCAGTGAGGAAGAAAAGGAGGTAGGAGGTACACTATCTAAAGGAGCCAATCTGTGTGAATAGGCAGTTTGTGAAGTAGCTGAGAAAAAAAGGGTGCTTCTTTAGAAGGAAGGACTTAAAACTCAAGCGATTGTGTAAAGCTTTGGCTCAGAAGTGCAGGAAGTACACAAAGGGAAAGGTGTAAAATTAGCTAAACTTGGCAAGAGAGATGAAATCCAACAAGAAAGCTTTTTAAAAATACGTTCATAGCAAAAAAAAAAGGCAAAGGAAGTGGCAGAGTCGCTGTTTTTTCCAAAAGTGAATTCTTAATGGTGAGGGCAAAAATACAGGGAAACTCTTATTTTGCTTCAGTCTTCACTGAATGTCATTTTAAAAATAAATAACTGCTAAATAAATGTTACTGTTTAAACTATTTAAATAAATGTTAAAAATAACATTTTAAATATTTAAAAACATTAATTTAGTAGCATACATCGGAAAGGTTCACAACAGGAAAGGGTGCAGGATGGTAGGGATGAAATAAAGGAGCATTTGACTAATTTGAATGCTTTCAAGGTCCCAGGCCCTCATGAAATACAGTCTAGAATACTGTTGAGGAACTATTGTCTTTGATAGGAGGGAAGATACCAAATGACTGGTATTTCCCCTCTTCAAGAAAAACAGGATCCCAGTAATTATTGAACAGTGAACTGGACATTAGTCTCTGGGGGGATGATTGAATAAGCAGGCCATTTGTAAGCTTAAAGATTGCTGTGATTGCCAGGAGCTTTGTCAAAAATAGGTAATCCGAGACGAATGTCATCTTCTTTGACAAGATGCCCTAATAGAACAGCTGAAATAACTTGGGATATTCAGTCTGGAGAAAAGAAGAAACTAGAACCAAAAATAATGGACATAAATTGCAACTATCTAAAGTTCATTTAAATATAGCAAAAACCTCACTGGAAGATCTGTACGATAGTAGACCAACCTATCCTGTTGCTGCACTTGCCCTCTGGAATGATGGGTTATTCTCCCCCCCCCCCCCCCCGAAATCTATGTGGCTCCTACCCTTATTTGTTTAGGAAATTTTTTATGGCTGTTTTTCCAGCTGTATTGACAAACTGGCTGTGGAATGCCATTTTGGGGGGTTGGTTTATTGTTGTTATTGGTTTATTGATGGATTGTGTCTGTGATTGATTGATGAAACTATGTGGTCAATAGGAGTTTGATGACACATAAGGGTGTATATGTGTTGTAAAAGTTGTAGGCTGCCCAGAGATGTTAATGAGTCAGGTGACTTCAGATTTGACAAAATAAAAATCTTATCTATGAAGACTGTGGACTCAGTTCTCCATTTCTAGAGGTGTTTTAAGAAGGATAAGGATAACTTAATTTCTGGATGTAAGTTTTTTTAAAATCTTTTGGGGTCTTGCTTGTTACCATGATAGGTTTTTAATTCTTTTTATACAGACTTAAAAATAAATCAGTAAATGAATGGTTTTCCTGTATATTGCAGAGGGCTGAACTAGATGATCCTTTCAGCTCTACTATTCTGTTTTCTGTTATGTGTCTATACAGTGTATTTATCAGTTTCAGACTAGTATAGCTGAGTGTCTAAGTTGAATCTCCTCTTAGAAGAACGGAGCATTCTGCTCTATCTGATCTGCTGCGGTCTGAGCTGTAAATCAGATTGAGACTTTGAAAAACCATAAGGAGAAGATAGTGGCAAACTAAGTCATCAAGAGTTAAGCATGTCTTTTTTGTTGTCTTCACTTAAATTCTATTTTCAGTGGCGGTTACCCTCAAGGAAATGCCTAGAGACATAGGCCAGTTAGATTGATCAAATTACAATATTTTAAAATATTTTTGATATTTTAAATTGGTCTGAACAGCCTTTTTTTTTAAAAAAAAAATCAGATTATTAAAATGTTTGTTGTTTTAGCATAAGAATTTATAAAAACCAGCTAGTAGGCATCATTTTAAAAGAATCATCTCTCTTCCTTCACACTGGATCCTGGAAGAGTATAAAAGATATACTGCAATAACTTTAGATAATCTTACTTTAGGAAGAATATTTTAAAAGTTCCGTGGTTTTTCATAAAGTTCTTTAATGCTTTTCCATAAAACCTAATTGAAGAGGTTGCGTAATTAGGACAGTTTGTACAAAGGAAGAATAGCTGCTGAAAAAGAACGGCTTACCAGGGTGTAACTGATGATTGGATTTGATAAGCGTGCATTCCTCATTCCACAGTCAATATTTTCTCAGTGGCAGGGCTGTTCTTGTATCCCAACACATAGCCTGTTCCACCTACTTGGAGAATAGCATTTGCATCAGCCCTCTTGAAATCAATATATGGCTGACACATATCTGGAGGACTGAGAAAACCAGTCCAAAAGATTTTTGTGAAAGGGTGTTTATGCACTCCTTTTTCTGCCATCAGATTTTATAGAAGAAAAAAAGAAAAGAAAAGCATCTTTGAGTCGAGCTTGATACCTAGCGATTTCATGGGCATCCATGTCATTTTCCTGACAACAATAACAGGTGTGGTTTGCTGTTGTTTTCTTTCAGGAGAGTTTTTCAGTTTCGGAGGCTGTTTCTTAGTATTTTCCCATCAAAATGGCCTTCCAGAAATTCCTAAATAGAATTTTTGCGCATGAATAGGACTGGGGCCATGTGGTACAATATAATGTATAATGCATTGAGAAGAGGCTACATCTCACTGCCATGCAGAAGCTTCCTGGAAAAAAAATCCCATTAAAAAGTCAGGGAGAAGGTCATTTGAAAAGTCTTTGGATAGCTGCTGCAACTGGGACTAGTGAGAGATAGGACTGGGCTAGATGGATTTTCATCAATCTCATGCCCCTTGAGACAGTTTTTGGAATTTTTTTAGAGGCCCCATAGATGAATGTTGGTTCCAATACATTTGGAGGCTATCAGATTGGGGAAAGCTGAGGTAGGTGGACAAGTAGTCTGACCTGCTTGGCAACTGCTTTTTATTGTTGGAAGAAAAGTCTTCATCATGGTTCAGTCCAAGCCGGGGATAAACAACATGGCGACTGCTTTAGAAAGAAGGTTGCAGTTTATTGAAGAGGAGAGCCAGACAGAAAGATGGCTCTGGAAGAAAAGAGAGAAAAAAAGGCCTGAGCACATGTAGGGAGTAGGTTTTTATACCCTCTGGAGCCTTTTGTTTGGAGTTATTCCTGTGGCATGAACTTTGACCTGAGTCTGAGTGTGCTTTTCTGGTATTCTGATGGTGATGGGTTAATCCTATTACGTCCTAAAGGTCATATCCTGCTTCCCTGGGGCTGGGACCAATGACTCCTAGAGTTTGGGTGAGGTATGCAGAGTTTAGGTGTCTTTGTCTTCTTAATCTCCTAGCTTCAACCTTCCTGATGGTTTACATCTGCATTTGTACAGAGCTGGTTTCTGCTTGAGGGAGGGAGACTTGGGGCTATTAAGAAAAACTGGGCATGCTTTTCTGCCTCTTTAAGATCCTTTGAGGAAATATATATTTCTGCCCTTTTAATATTTCCTTCTCTGGGGGGCGGCTGACTTCCCACATTATAATCAGAGTTTGTTGAGATGACTCAACCTTCTTCAGTTTGGTGCTCATCATTGTATCATTACAAACAACAAAAATAATGATTCCTTCCATCCCGCTAAAGAGAAATAAGAAAGTACTAATAATGTAAAGCTTCCCATATGTATTTGAATAATAAAGCAAGATATTTTTGCATGGTCCATTTTTTCTGCCTACAGGATCACTGTTCAATGATTTTGTATGGGTAGATGTAGGACTTTCCCACAACTAGTCTTTGAGGAAGGAAGAGAGTAGTTACAAGCTTGCTGCTGGATGACGTGGGTGCAGTAATATGATATACCTCATGGGTTGAGAAAAGGACTCCAATTATTTTCTGTGAATTGGGGCATACGTGTTCTCTTATTACTAGGTCTAATAGAAGCAGAGCCAAAGCCCTATGTATCATCGGCATCTTCAGATATGTTCTTGTGAGAACAGTATAATCTGAGGTCTTTTTGACTTAATGATATCGAATTGACTTGAATACCCTTATGGCTAAAATGCAATAATGTTAATACTATAAGTAAACAGGCTATGATGGGAGTTATTATTTTTGAGACTTGGGCTTTCGACTATTTGTGTTTTGCAGTGCAGTAGTACTAAGATTGCCAATGTTTGAGCTAGTCTTTACTCATAATCAAACAGTTCTTCAAAGGACTCTGGAATGGAATCGTATTTCTTTTTAGTCAGCAAAGCTAAATATTCTAGCCAAAGTTCCTTACCTAATGTGGCTGTCCCTTCATGAACCTTTTAAACTCACTCTCGTATGCATTACACAAACTTCCTCAAGTTTCTTATTTCAGTTTTAGAGGAAACTTGGCAAACTTTCCTGATTGTTTTTTTTCCCCTTCTAGAACTAAATCATGGCTTTTCGGAAGGCAGTGAAAGGAACTATCCTCATAGGAGGAGGAGCTATTGCAACTGTCTTTGCCCTCTCACAAGTTTCTCAATATAGAAAAAAGGTAAGTAAATTGGTTTAATACTTGTAAATTTCATGCAGATATGTTATTTTTATTGCATTAATACTGTAATGGTGGGTTGGTGCTATATTAGGTTATACAAATTGGAAGAGGCTTCAACCAAGAACACTGTCTGTATATTATTTTATGGTTGCACCAATGAAAAGTTCATTCATTTCTAAATAAATTTCGAAGTCGGTTTTTGTACCATTTCACACCATCCTCTTTGTAGTAATTAGATTATAAAGGATACAAGCAGCATATCAAATGTAATTTAAAACTTTTAATGTTGTTGAAATCTTCAATCAGTAAGAATTATGGAGGCTAATTTTGTATTTGTACAATAAGATGAAATCCAATTGTTTCGTTGGCAAAATATAATTAATATGAAGCTCTATTTGAATATTTAATAATTTGCCCGTTGACATCCTAGCAATTCGAAAACATCCAAATGCAAGTACATCTATAGGTACCACTTCGATGGGAAGGTAACAACATTCTGTGCGCTTCATTGTATAGTCATGCCAGCTAGATAAGAGGTCTCCAACCCCCGGTCCGTGGACCAGTACCGGGCCGCGGCATCTCAGTACACAAACAAGGAAAGCCCCATTCGTGGGATGCAGGCAGCACACAAAACCACGCCCCCTCCGGTCCATGGAAAAACTTCTCTCCACGTAACTGGTCCCTGGTGACCAAGATGTTGGGGATCTCTGAGCTAGATGACCATGGAAATATCCTTGGACAATGCTGGCTCCCTCAGCTAGGAAACGGAGATGAGCACCGCTCCCTAGAGTTGGAAACAACTGGACAGGGGAATCCTTTATCTCTTTTTAGTGTGGCTTTGCAGTCTCATCCAACAGTTCAAGGATATAAAGAGTGAGCCATGACTATAATTAATAATTGTTGGGTTGAGGTGACATCTTCCACATTGGATGAAAAGAAAGGAAATTAAAGCTTCTTATTCCCTTTAGGTTCTCCAGAGTTTCAGATTAGAAAGTGAAAATTAAGGAATAGATAATTTATAACCTTTACAGTCATTAAAAAAAACTCTTGGTAGTTGCAGCTGTATTTCACATTTTAATCGAATGTAGGTAAGAATATCATTGCCCAGTTTAAGAGAGCCAGTTTGGTGTAGGGCAGGGTAGGCAACCTTGGCTCTTTTATGACTCGTGGACTTCAACTCTCAGAATTCCTGGGAGTTGAAGTCCACGAGTCATAAAAGAGCCAAGGTTGCCTACCCCTGGTGTAGGGGTTAAACACCAGGCTAGAAACATGGAGACTAAGAACAGCTGTGTGATCCTGGGCCACTCTTTCTCTCTTGGCCCTTAGAAGACAATAGCAAACCATTTCTGAAATCTTGCTAAAAAAACCCTGCAGGGACTTATCTAGGCAGTTGCCAGGAGTCAACCATGACTTGAAGGTGTGCCTGCGTGTGCACGCACACATACAGAAGTTTAAGCATAGGGAATACTGTGAAGATACTGATTCTTTCATAAAGTTGAATATAGGAGGCCTTTGATACAGCCCGTGATATTTGTTGTAAGAGTCTTCATCTAGAGTTGAAAAATACGACTAAAGGCTGGAAAAGTAGCATAGTAGTATGCAGTAGTAAACCCCCTGTCTCACAATGTTTCAGTTGTAAATCTGGGACCATTGAGTTTCCTAATAATTAAAAGTGGAAATTTATATTCTGTGCAACCATGGAGTATATAGAGAAAGTAAAAATGGCAAGAGAACAAGAGAAATCCTGTGCTTTTCCTTTATTCTGACTTTTCCACCACTTGTAGCTGTTGTCTGCCCATATCCAACAGATGATACCAAGTGGAAGGATTGTTGCACAAGAAGATGGCCTGTTTGTCCTGTTGACATATCTAATTGTGGGGCAGAACTACCTTTATTATGCCTGTCAGTCATGTAGAGGATGTGATAAATGACCTCCAGATTAGCAGGAGAGAAGGAGGCTTTAATTGGCTGTTATTTTTTTTTCTAAGCAAGATTTTTCAACACTCACCTGTGCTGAGAGAAGACCTAAGCCAATTAACATACGGGCCAATTTTATATTCTGTCTTCTAGAAACATCTCATTTACTGTACAACTAGTAAGCATTCAGCAGCAAGCTGTTCTGTCTGCATTTTTAGGAAGTCATTGATTATTCTTTGCCAAAGCAGCATTGAAGACAGGAAAATGAAGTTTTAAAAACTTTTGTTATATTTTTATGTGAAAAACTTTGGATAAGAGCCTTATGCCGATGCTTAGTCTGATCATGCAAAGGCTTAAAACAGGGAGAGGATTTAGGCATGTAACAAACTTGTTCAAGTCATCTTTGTCCACATTTGCTTAATCCTTGACTTCCCCATAATGAAAAGAGTAATCTGAAAGAGACTTCCAGTAGCATTTATTTAAACAGTGGTAGGAGAGTACATCTTACAAGGTTTTCAATTCCATTTTCAAGTGAACATGAGTTTTGGTGTTTCTAAAATATTTTCGCTCTTAGATTATTTTTAGTATTGAACTTCATAGTTGCTTTCACATGCTGAAATTCAGTATAGAGATTGGTCTTAAAAAGTAATATAAACGTTCTGTGTTTTTTTCACTGCTGTGTCTATAACAGCAACAACACTCTGACAATAATAGAAGATTTTGGATGTGGACTTGACCCACTTAGCAGAAATATGCTTGTGCTTTCTTAGGCTTGCTGCTGAATAAACATGTATGATTGCCTAGTTAAGAATTTATTTTACTTTTTTTCAGAGTTCGTTTCAAAGTAAAATACGAATTTACAATGAATCATAGAAATTAATAATGCATAGAAATACTTAGGATACATATAAGTCAGTTTTACTTTTGCATACATCTTCTCGAAATAAATGTGTTCTGTGATCACACACGTGATGAAACACTGAATTTTGCAAACCGTAAACTTGCGCAGGATATATCTTTGTAGCTATAAAATAGCAGCTTGTTTTAATTAAGACAGAGAAAGCACATTTTCAGAATGTGAATTCAGCATCTAAAGCAATACAATTATATGAAGACCCAGAAAACTAGAGATGTATTTTTACATTTCTAATATTAGATGCACACTCACACAGAAGCTAGTGCCAATTGTTGCTATTTTGCAGTCTCATGAATTCTTTTGTAGGCTGTTAGCGTTTTATATTTAATAATTTCAATTGTCTTTTGTAAAAACAAAAACACAGCAAGCAAGGTCTTAGTCTACTGGTTTATATTTAAAGACGCTTTCATTAAGTCTTTTGTGGTGATTTTAGGAAAAGTAATGGGCATGCTGGCATACTTAATAATGATGATGATAATATTTGTAATAATATTTTGGGATTATTTTATTTCAGTGCTATTCAAACATGAATCTTTTGTGCTGTTCTTAATGACTACAGATAAGGATGTTGAACTAGTAGTGCTGCTCTTTATAAATCAATATTAAATTATGCCCAACTTCCTTCCTTCCTTCCTTCCTTCCTTCCTTCCTTCCTTCCTTCCTTCCTTCCTTTCACTTTATTTTTGCAGGGTCATCTTGCATCTGTGGAAGCTTCAGAATGTAAACTTGAACCAATGCTAAGCTCCCTTCCAACTAGGGAGAATCACTTCCAGGCTTTGAGAGAAACCGCAGAATTTGATGTTCTTATCATAGGTGGAGGTGCCACAGGAAGTGGTTGTGCCTTAGACGCTGTTACAAGAGGTAAGTGATTCATGGAAATATAGAAGTTGGTTGTTTTGTATCTAGGCATTCATATGTCCCAGAGTTAGGAATATATTTTTACATTAAAAGTATATTCGTTCTATCTAAATTCATTGCTTTTCCTTTTCCTTTTTTTCTATTTTTATTTTTATTGTATTTTTTTTCTGTATTGTATTGTATTTCTGTATTGTATTTTTTTTTACTGTAGTTCAGGGGTGTCAAACTCAATTTCATTGAGGGCCGCATCAACATTGTGGTTGCCCTCGGGGGGGCGGGTGTGTGTGGCCAAGGTGGGTGTGGCCTATTGGTGGGCGTGGATGGAGTGGGTGTGGCCTGCTGGGTGTGCATGGCCAGCTCTACATCGTTTGCGTCAAGGGTGCCTGTGGGGGCCTGGGCAGGAGTGGGACAGATCTGAGGGTCTCTGGCAGAAAGGGGTGGGACTGGGGCAAGCGCCAAGGCATGGTCCATTTCTTCATTCCTCACAAAGGATGACACCTCCCCAGCATGCACCCAGGGGGCGGGGCTGACGCGGCAGGGGCTGGTTCCTCACTGTTTCTAGACGGCCTTGTGGAGCTAAGACTGAATGCGTTTCAGCATAGATGGCCACCACAAAATTGTACATAGGCTCCCGGCCGGCCTGGCCCAGGGCCAAGGCAGTGGGGGCCGTTCCCTGACTGTTTCCAGGATGGCTTCGCGGGCCACATGAAACCACTTCGCGGGCCACATCCGGCCCCCGGGCCTTGTGTTTGACATGTCTGCTGTAGTTGGTTTGTGTTATTTACTGTAATCTTTTGATTGATTCTTTTAAATTATATTTACAGGTTTGGGGATTTTTTTATTCATAGTACAGTGTTTAAAAAAGATTAACAGAGCTTGGATTTAATTGCTACAGTTCCTTTATTATGCTATGCCACAAGAGGTCTTCTCATATTCTGTCTCTCACTCATACCTTTGTCATTCAATCCAATATAATGCCTGTGACAGGCCTAAGGCATTTTAAAATGCTGTCTTGGATCATGATAGAGATAAGTTGCTAACATCACAGTTCCCAGTTCTGAAAACTTAAAGAGGCTCATGCCTTTTGATATTCCAGAAGCATAGTTTCTAAGCATGGAGAATTCAACAAAGTGCCTTTTGTTTAAAAGATGAAATGAATATAATTTGAGCATTTGAGATTATCTCTTTTGACTTGCCGGGCTTTCTTCTATTCCGTTTGTTTTTAATGTCATTGTCCAATATATCCAACTCATCTTGGCTGTGTGGGAAGCCTGCGCTTCATGTTATGATCTATTTTTGGGGTGTTCCTTGCTAAGCCAGTTTGCCTTAAATCCTAAAGAACTTCTGCCTTCCTAATTGTGAATTGCCTTTTCAAAATTGCCACAATTCCTTACTACCAAAACTTGCAGTACAGGTAGTCCTCAACTTAATGACCACCACTGAGCCCAAAATTTATGTTGCTAAGTGAGAAATTTAAGTGAGCTTGATGTATTTTACGACCTTTCTTGCCACAGTGGTTAAGCGAATCACTGCAGTTGTTAAATTAGTAACATGGTTGTTAAGTGAATCTGGCTTCCCCATTGACTTTGCTTGTCAGAAGGTTGCGAAAGGGGATCACATGACCCCCCAGGGCACTGCAACCGTCATAAATGTGAATCAGTTGTCAAGCATCCATATGTAAATCATGTGACCATGGGGATGCTGCAATGGTCATAAGTGTGAAAAATGGTCATAAGTCACCTTTTGAGTCTTGTAACTTTGAACGGTCATTAATGAAGTGTTGTAAGTTGAGGACTACCTTTAGGTGTAATGGTAATGGTGACATAATAAAGGCGGAAAAATAACAAACAAACAAAAATTCCCATATTGAAAGGATAACTTGATAACTAGCCCTGGTTGGAAGAGCAAATGAGAAAAAATAGGAAAGTCATTTTTGAATGAGAAAAATTAAATCAAGTTTTGTCTTTAGATTATGGGATCTGCTTCTGCTTCATTTAAACCTCAAGATCTGTCAACTAGTGCAGATATTATGGATGGGATATATAGAATCCAGAGTCCAGAGATTTATTTTGACTATCAAATATGGGACAATTTACATTTTTTAAATCATTAGAATCATGATTTAAAGATTTAATGTGATTGAATTTGCTCAGTATGTTGTGGAAAAATCAATTGTGATGTACTTAGTAAACCATAGTTGAACAAAAATAGCGTAGTATAGTATCTGTGGAAACATCAGATAAGTTACATTCAGTAATCCCAAGTTAGCAACACATAGTTTAAGGTGATGTGGAAACCTTTTAAAAAATGGTTATTATAAAAAAAATGTAAGAAAAAAATTCTGAACTATTTCTGATTTATACCAGTAGATTTTAGTCTACCTTTCTGTCTATGCCAGCTCTGGATTATAATNGGGCCTGACCTAGGGTGAATTTTAAATAGGGATAATTTTTAATGATTTTAAATAGTCACAGCCACTAATATTTGGATTTTAATTGGTTTTTAGAAGGGGTAATTCTGTATATTGTTTTAACATGCTGTGAGCCGCCCTGAGTCCCATGGGGAGAAGGGCGGCATATAAATTTTGTAAAATAAATAAAATAAATAAAATAGTTCGTACTTCCTCCTTGGACATGCAAAATTGTGTTACTCCTTCTTCCACACCCTCTGTTAAAATCTTGCAATACTTGCTTTCATTTTTCCTGTTTTCTTCCTTAAGTGGCTTTGTATGAATGATTGCCACACGGGAAGCATATATATTGACAGGGGTTGTGACATTAGCATGGCTACTTTATTCAGTTTTGAAAATAACACTCGAACGAAGTTAGTTTGCATTAGATGGGATTTCCCCCCCCCTTCCCTTAAAAAGGAATTTCATTTTAAGCGTTCTGTAGGTGTTTATTTTTAACCGCATTTACTTTCATTATGATTATATTTTACAAAACAATAGAAGGGTCGGTGGGAAAAAAAATGCCTGAAAATTGGTAATGAGGTATGCAGTTCAGAGTCAGTCTCAAGATAGCGATTGTGCACTTGCACTGCATTAGTTAGAGGAGATGTTATCAGTATTACATTACAGTTTTTCATTTAGCACAAAAATATGAATTAGTTACAACCTCCCCAAGGCCCATTAATCTTCCATCTGTCTCCTGTTCTGCTTTTATAATATTCTACCTCAGTGTTTCTCAACCTTGACAATTTTAAAGCATGTGGACTTCAACTCCCAGAATTCCACAGCCAGCATTGCTGGCTGTGGAATTCTGGGAGTTGAAGTCCACATGCCTTAAAATTGTCAAGGTTGAGAAACACTGTAATTGATGAAAAGTTCTGAAGAACTTGAAAGCTTGCACTCTCCTCTGAGTTGGGTGGTTCTAATAAAGGTATTACCCGATATTGATTTTTTAAAAAAAAATTCTGTAGACCATTATGTTCATATGTTGTTGTTCTGCTAAAAAAAACATAATGCAAATTTAAAAGGACATTAATAACGCTAATCGTTTGATTATAATTTAATTACTTTGTTTAATTTGTTCTCATGTGTACCAATATCAAGAGTTGGAAAATAATGCGATAACTATGTCTGGGCCTGAACTCTTCTTCTGTCCTGCATTAGCTTAATTTCATTTATCCTCACTCATCTAAAATTTTTAATTGTCCTTGTATATTAATGAGAAGGAGAAAGGTTTTATGTTACCCTCAAATTCCTTCTTCGGTCATTTTCATATCTTCAGTTTTTATGACTTACGTCAAAATATTTCTCTGAAAAGGCTGCCAAAGAGATGACATTATGCACTTTGAATACAAATTTATCTATATTCAGAGCAATTTTTTTTCTTGTGATTGTCTGTACCCTAGAGAAGGGTCTTTAATGAATTACATACAAATTGTGTAATTTAAGAAGCTAATTTGGTCTTCTGGTTATGCAGGCCTCAGCACAGCTCTTGTAGAAAAGGATGATTTTGCATCAGGGACTAGCAGCAGAAGTACTAAATTGATCCACGGCGGAGTGAGATATCTACAGAAGGCCATCATGAAATTGGATTTTGATCAGGTAATGGTTTAGGATGGCTGCTGCAAAGCAAAACAATAGGTTGCTTGATCTAGTGAAATTGGTTCTCACACTTACGACTTTCAACACACTATTTGCTTTCAGTCGATTTAAACTTTGAGAAAATATGCAGAAAATGCATATACAGAAAAAAATGCATAAGTAATTAAAAATTATGGAATGTTTTATGTTAGCATTTGGTCAAGTAATTGAAATGCAAAGTGTACGTTTTAGTAAACTGACACTTTGATAGCACTTTATTTATTAAATTTGGGTTCAAATTCTCACTATTTGAAAAAAAAAATCCTAAAACGTGTTATGGTAAATTTATTGTTTTGTAAACAAGTTGAGAAGCTTCCATACGTTTAAGACAATTATAATTTTTTTTAAAAAAAACTGTAGTAACAGCACACATTGCTATTATCTGTAAAAGTGTTCGTATTCTTTTCAAGCAGCGGGTGCCATTGTGTAAATTTGTGTGATGGTGCAACGGCCAAAAATGTAAAAATGCTTGGAAGATTATCAAAACTGTCAAGATCTCATCATTTGCACCCTCAAAATTCTCTGTCTCATAAAGGCTATCTGATCTTGTGACAGTTTTAAATGCTTTCCTTGGGGGGAAAAAACAACTTTGGGTTCTTAATACCTGATTTACAGTGAACCTTAGTTTCCCTCTTCTCACTCATACACTGAACTAGCCGTTTCGTAGTGCATTTCTCCATATTAAGACTAAATTCTGCAGGCAGAACATTTTTGGTAGCAACAATTATTTCCTTATCTTGATTCTAAGTCATTCGATTCCATTATATCGCATTTTGATTCTATAGTCGTTCTATACAAGATAGCACATTGATTTTTATTGAATAAGGAGAAGGGAAGGCAGAACATTTCTGTAGCTCCAGGAGATTTAAAAACAGAAACAGGGATGCCTCTGTGATGGTTTATTTTTTTTTAATATAAGAATAGAGCTGGAAGCCTCATTTAGGCCATTGAGTGCAACCTACCTGCTCAGTGCAGGAATTCAAATTAAAGCATTTCAGTTTAAAGCCTGCACTCTTCCAATGAAGAGGAGCCCAGCACCTTTCTAGGTAATTGATTTCACTATCAAACTGCTCTTACTATTAGGAAGGGTTCCCCCCACCCCTATTCAATTAGAATCTCCCTTCTTTCTCTCTATGGAGATTCTCAGTCATCCAGAATTCCAGATCATGGTTGTTCCAAAGCTGCTTTTCCAAAAGACAACTTTCTTGTTTTGTTTTTTCCCCCATTGAAAACATTCCACTTCTCATTCAGAAAGCTTCTTCAATTAGAAGAAGAATTCTCCTAAGTCTAATTATTAATTTATTAATGGCTAATGATTGATTAATTAATAAATAATAATTATTAATAGTTATTAATTAAGAATTATTTTTCTCCATTGATGAGAAGAAGGGTGTTCTCATCGAAGACGTTTCTTCAATTAAAAGTTTCTTAGATGAGAAAATGTTTTCAAATAAAAAAAACCAAGTCCAGTTGCCTTTTGGAAAATCCCCTTTGAGGGTTCCTTCCTCTCATTTAAACCCATTCTTCAGTGTCCCGCATTCTGGGGCAAGAGCGATCAAGTTTGGGCCCCCGTTTTGAGTCACATGCTTTCCTGTATTATATTCCTTCTCAGTTGTCTTTCCCATACCTACCTCCTTTATTAGATACTAGATAACCTTTATTGACATTTTTTACTGTGGGCACAATGGCACACATTAAAAATGAAATTTAGTTGCTTGCTCTCAAAGTGTACATATACATAACACACATTTAAACATACTATATACAACATATGTATCTTTCTTCATAGGAGATCAGCTTCTTCAAACTTCTCTGAATTGTTCTGAAAGTTTAACAGCCAGACCTTAAGAACATATGGAAGCTGGGCTTGACCAGTTTACTTCCTGTAATGCATTCATTATACTTCCATTGATGGAACCTAAAATTTAATTTACCCCTTTTATAGCCATAGCACAGTGATCCCTCCAGTTCATGTGTAATTAACTTCTATTCCAGATCTGTTTCACACATGCTGTTTCCACTTAGTTGTGCCTCCTGGATTTTTGTCCTTGCTTCAGGTTTTTCATTTTACATTCCTCAGCTGTCTTCTGCTAGCTGTTGGTCATGTATGTAGCTCACATTTTACTCAGTAAGAAATTTGAACGTGTGTATAATGTTGGGAAACTACTGTTCCCTTAGAACACGGGTGTCAAACTCGCCATGTCACATGACGTGACACGACGTATCGCGACTCTTTTTGCATTGCCGGCAATGGGGTGGGCGCGGCTTCGGTATGATGAAACCGGCCTGCGGGCCGGCAGTTTGACACCTCTGCCTTAGAATATGAATGTAATTAAACACTAGCGCGGTATATAAAAAAAAATTGTGGCAGTTCCGTTTTTTACTATTTCAGATGTTTTTTTTAACTCAATACAGTTTTGAGTTCCAAACTGTTATTTTGAATTTTAATCAGTATTTATTTTAAGATCAGACAGCACTTTCTGGATGGACAATGTGCAAAATTCAAATTTACTTGAATTTGGTTGATTAATTCCAGATTTTCTGTTATTGATTAGACAGGTTTTTATGTTCTAGAGTAAAATAGAGCAATAACAATATGAAATCAATACTGAATTGTCTTATTTTTTAAAAACAATAATTAGTACATATCAATTTAGAAACTGCATAGACTGCTATCGTTCATTCCCATAGAGCTAGGTAGCCCTAGACATACGACTGCTTGTTTAATGACCGTTCGAAGTTAAAGTGGCATTGGAAAAAGTGACTTATGTCCGTTTTTTACATTTAACGACTGTTGCAGCATCAACAGTTGATCAAAATTCTGGCACTTGGCAACTGAACTCATACTTATGACGGTTGCAGTGTTCCCAGGATCATAAGATCATCTTTTTGCGATTTTCCCGACAAGCAAAATCAGTGAATCCAGATTCACTTAACAGCCGTGTTACTAACTTAACACCTGCAGTGATTCACTTAACAACTGTGGCGAGAAAGGCCATCAAATGGGGTAAAATCCTTAACAAATGTCTTGCTTAGCGATGAAAATTTTGGGTTGAATTGTGGTCGTAACTCAAGGACTACCTATAGGGCAGTGGTGGCGAACCTATGGCACACGTGCCGGAGGCGGCACTCAGAGTCCTCTCTGTGGGCACGCGTGCCATCCCCCAGCCCCGCCTCCCCCTGCAACCCCTCCTCCCCAGCAGCCCCCCCGGAGGAGAATCGCCCCGGGCGTCACCCATGTGGAGCAGTGCAGCCAAGGACATGGCAGCAGGGACAAGACTCTGCCTTCGCGCCCCATCACACACATTTGATGCTATGGGGCGTGGGCGGAGGGTGTGGCTGCCATGGTGCTGCAGGGCCACCTGGGCGATCTGCAGGCTGCAGAGGCGGTGTGTGGCCCTGAGGGCGGCTGGGGTGGGGTGGCGGATAAGGCAGGGGGGCAGAGTGGGGGCTGGGCGGGGGTGGGGGCGGTTTTGGGGCACTCAGTCTCTAAAAGGTTCACCATCACTGCTATAGGATATGGTGATCAAGACATTGAACTGGCACAAGGGAAATGCAAGTTCTTGTTCCGCTCCTAGCTGTGAAAACTTACTGAGTGGCTTTGATCCTTTCTCTCTCAGACCAACCTTATTTCACACAGTTGATGTTGTGGTAGAAAATGGAGGAAGGAGAATGTGAACACCATATTGAGCTCCTGAAAGAAACTTCGAGATATATTTTAACTCTTTTTTCTGCTATAAAAATACATCTTCTTCTGGTCAAAGAATGACCTGTACAAATTTTTATTACAGTCATAATTTCTAAAGTTTTTTTTTTTTAAATATTACAGGGAGTCCACAAAATAGTAACAGATGGTTGTTCGTCAGTATCGCTGAGAATCAGTTCAGTAAATTCTTTATTATTATTTTTTCTTTTTCTTTCTTTTTTTTAGTATAGAATGGTGAAAGAAGCCCTCCACGAACGTGCCAACTTGCTTGAAATTGCTCCTCATTTATCTGCTCCTCTGCCTATAATGCTTCCAGTTTACAAGTAAGTTATTTAAAATTTACTTTCTTTTATTTGCTTGGCAGGTTATTCTTACAATTTAATCTGTGTCACTGTGTAGGAATTATAGTGCTCCTCCCCCCCCCCGTGGGTTATTTTTTATTTTGTTTTCTTTTGCTTTTGCTAGTGCCAAGCCTAATTTCTTACTTTGTAAGAACAAAATATTGCCATTATTTTATAGAAGTGTAATGTGAAATCTTTTGGACCATTGTTTTAATCTGGTATGGCAAATGCACAAAGAATCCTATTGGCATTTTACTGACAGATTGATTACAGTGGCAGAAACCTTTGATGTTGCTATACCATAACTGTGCTTGAATTAAATCTTGATTAGCCGTCTGAGAACTGAAACTTACGGGCGTTTATGTGCATCGGTGTTTATATGCATTTATTTATTTAAACGTTGAAACCGTGTCTGCATCTCTGTGGTATAAAAAGGGGAAAAATGAGATGCAAATGTATGCATGCTGTTAATTTTCCTGACTTCTCAGATGCCTTGAGAAAGGAAAATACATAAGTAGCTTTTTTACTCTGGTTAGACAGACCAGTACTTTACCTTAAATTAGTCAGTAAGATGTGAAAAGAGAGTATCCCATTAATGTTCTTGAATAATAATAATTTATTAAACTTGAATTACGCCTGATTCTCAATTATTCCGGACAATCAAAGAATTTACAATAAAATCAATAAAACATAAAAAATATAGATAAGCGCACAAATGTATGCTGTTTAGGTCTTACATCGAGGATGCATCTGAGGAGATGTTACAGGAAGAGAATAGTTAAGTGTTTTGTAACTTACCTATTTGAGTTTTGATCTTTAGAGAGGTACTGGGAGAGGGACGTTAGCCTGAGCTGATGTCTTATCCAGGGTCTCTAAATGACTTTCTAAACGAAGTGACGTTTTGAGACTTAGTTTTCACACATCCCACCACAATGACTCAGAAAGAATAACATTAAGCAGTGGAAACATCAAGGATTGGAGAGAGAAGTCATCAAACCTAAATAAACATACTGTGCTCAGATGATGTGGTGTTATGTATCCAAGAAAAATATGGTGATGCTACAGCACTTCCAGAACATGTCTTACAAGTACGATTCTGGTACATTGTACTTTCCATGTCTCAGTGTAAAAGTATACAAGCTTGCTCCATCATTTCAGACGCCTTACAAGAAAGGGAATTTTGAAGCACCATCCAAGTCATTTAAATAAGATTTCTTGTTATGTAAGAAACTTCAGATGCCTGTAGGCTGCTTAGTTATGTGCTGTTGTTAGAAACTTGTTAACTAAACATTAGAAATAAGTATGCAAAACACCAGTCATTACTCACTTTTGCTCAAGCATGCACAATTTCTGTTGCCTCAAGAGCTGCAGCTGGCTTTATGTTATATATCAAACATTTTATTCCAAAAATTGGTCAAGGCCAGGTCAAGCTCTCCCCCAGAGATCCGGGTGATTCCGGATCTCCCCTCCTTCCGCCGCGCCCTCAAGACTTGGTTATTTCAGCGGGCAGGACTGGCCTAGGGGTATTTTAATTGGTTTTAACAAAATTTTAGTAGAAGCGGCCTATTCAAATATTTATTTTTAATCATTTTTAAATTTTGTATGGTATTGTATTATTGTTTTTAAACTGGCT